ATCTACCTGCGTTTCACGTGGCAGGCGTGGCACTTGTGCCACTGGGCTGGCTCTGGTGGTGCGCTTGGGCGCCGTTACTCGCCCGTGATGCCGCGGCACTTTGCGTGGCAGGCGTGGCACTTGGCGACATCCACCTGCACTTTACATGGCAGGCGTGCCACTTGTGGCACTGGGCTGGCTCTGGTGGCGCGCTTGGGCGCCGTTAGTCGCCCGTGACGCCGCGGCACTTTGCGTGGCAGGCGTGGCACTTGGCGACACCCACCTTCATCGTGGCAGGCGTGGCACTTGGGGACATCGCGACAGGGGCAGCAGAACTTGAGGGTGTTCACTGAGGGGAGGCATGAGTTCCACCGGGTCAAGAAGGCCCTTCAGGTCTTGGTAATTGAGGAGGAGTCCCTTTTCAGGCAAGGAAAGATTTCCTTCCTGGCCTCATCCGAGGCTGGTTCGGCCGAGAACTCCTAATCGGAAAATGATGGCCTTGACGAGGAGCTGTTCCTGGTCATTGAGGAGAAGAACTTGGACGAAGATGAAGCCCTCACCTTCCTGGCCCAGCAACAGGTCAAGCGAAGGACTTGGAGTCAAAACAAGCAGCTGAAAGCCGCCAAAAAGAAATAAAAAGAAGGATCATCGCCATTTCGAGGAAAGAGGCAGCCGACCAGATCGACCTTCCAGTCGTCGAAGAGTACCAATTTCCGAGCTGAAGAAGATCACTCGCTGCAAGCAGCAGCCATTCCGGTGACATCGGACGAGGAGCCGATGCAGGAGGAGGGCTGGATCCGAGCATCTCGCTGAGTGGGGGCAGCCGGTGTTTCACTGTGATCAACCATGATAGCAGCGAGTCTAAGTGTACAGAATCTGCCCAGTTGCTGACCAGTAAGTTGAACATGCCTTTTGTAAATTTTCTCCTATCCCAAGAAGGGGCTGGTAGTTTGTGGTGTAATGAATCTGAGGGTGCTGTTGATGTTGTTTGTTTTTGTGATGAATTTGTGAATCAGTTATTGCCCGGAGGGAAGGGAGTTTCAGCTGACTAAAGGAATTAAGAAGAAGCTTTGCGCTAATGTGCGCTCTATGCTGCAGTGAATTGCTGAACAGCAAGGGCAGGTAGAATCTGGACGCAGGGAGCTCTGCGATCATGTACAGGTAGTTCATCAGCCGAACAACGGCCTGGCAGCTGGCCAAGCGGACAAGGCTAGAACCGCAAGAAAGGAAGGATCCAATGGGATCGAGGTTCAAGGACCGCAAGAAACGAAGGATCCAATGGGATCGAGGATCAAACAGCCAGCCTATAGCGAACAAGGCAAGGACCGCAAGATGCCCAGAAACAGCCAGCCAAGCGGTCAAGGCGAGAACCGCAAAAGGAGAAGAGACATCGGGCCAAGACAAGAGAGAGAAGAGATAGCGCAGTCGTTTTACCAATTAGCCCCCATGGGCTTAGCAGTGACCTTAGCCCTTACGGGCTTAGCTCTGAACCGGTCGCCTTCGGTCATCTCGATGATGGGACTGCAACGTTTTCGACGCAGTCGCATGGATAAGTCGCAGCACAAGGTGCTGGAGCTGTTTTCTCCTCCCAGAGTTACAAGCCTAGCGTCAAAGGTGGGCTTTGCTGTGACGCCTCCTCCAAGTTTTGACATGAAGAGTGGCTGGATTTTTTTGTGGCCAGCGACAGAGCGTTTTTCTGGGAAGTTTTGAGAAAAAAGCAGCCTGATTGTGTACTCATGACACCACACCGCAAGCCATTTTCCACCCCGATGGAGAGAAACTGGGATCGCATGGATCCAGCTCAGGCCTCTCGCATGCAGCAAGATGGTTTAGCTATGCGGCATTTTTGCATACAATTAGCTAAATTTCAACTGGAGAATCGTCGCGAGTTTTGCATTGAACAACCGGGGCCTGCTAGCAGTGCGATGGAGTGGCTGCTGAAGCAACCAGGAGTCATCAGATTTCTGTTTGATCAGTGTATGACCGGTTTGGTCGTGAGAGATGAGATGCCGCCCAAGAAAAGTACAGCACTAGTCACCAACCACCTGGGCATCGCTGCTGTGTTTTCAGAGCGGCTACCCAGCCAAGGCAGCCATATTTGGTCAGCAAATAGGGAAGTTGTTTGCGCAAGCTCTTTCTTTTGAACCCTGCGTGTCGTTTCTTGGTGAAGACTCTGGCGGTGATGAAGTGCCAGAATCTGAGGACGCTTTGGACGCAGAAGTGGAAGCCGCCGGCAGACAGATGGCAGCTGGTACGACAGGGCTGTCTTCAGAGCAGAAGCGAAAAGTGAACATGGTCCATGTCAATTTAGGCCACATTTCTAGGCAACAAATGCTCTCTCTCTCTCTCTCTCTTCAAAGCTGCTGGTGCCAAAGACGAAGACATGCGTTTTGTGCGTGACGAGTACCAGTGCGACCACTGTATGAAGCAGAGAAAACCAGTGGATAGAAAGAAAGCAACTATGCCTAGGACGCTTGCGTTTAACAGGATCGTAGCTGTTGATACTTTATACATCCTGGAGGGGGGTCACACGCGCCTACCTCAACATGATATGCCACGGGACCAACTACCAGCAAGTGTGCCGGTTGAAAGACAGTCAGGCAGGTGCTCCGTCGTCTAAGGCGGTTTGGAGCGCATTTCTTCATCACTGGGTGAAGCCTTTATGGATGCCGGAGGTTGTTTTGTCAGATGGTGGTTCTGAGTTCAAGAGTGTGTTCGAGCGTTCTTTGGAGCAGCACAACATACTGCAAGTAGTTTGCGGTGCAAGTTCACCATGGCAGAACGGCAAGGTCGAGAGGCATGGAGGTTGGCTCAAAGAGAGAGCGGAGCTAGAGATGTCTTCAGGCCAGTGTGTGGCCGCCACCAGCGAGGATCTGGATGAGCTCATAGCCTATCTTGTGGCCCACAAGAACAGATGGTTCAGCAGAGGTTGTTTTTCACCATGTCAGCTTGTATTTGGAAACAATCCAACGATTCCTGTTGATTTACTTGGGGACCCACCACAGGACATGGCCTGGCAGGACATAGAATCAGACGTCTCTGACCAGCGGCCGAGTTTGCCAAGAGTCACAGAAGTCGGCAGAGAGCTCGTGAACTCTGCATCCAATACAATGCCAACAACAAGATCAGACTTAGCAGTCAAGGATGACTGCACAAACAGAGACAATGGGCGGTTGGTCAGTGGGTTTACGTTTACCGAAAACACCCTGGGACTGGTCAGGGCCACACTACGCGCTCAGGGTGGATAGGACCTGGCGTGGTTTTGCTGCAAGCAGGGCACACAGTCTATGTCAGCATGAGAGCAAGACTATGGAAGTGCAGTTCAGAGCAACTGAGAGCGGCCACTCACTATGAGTCGTTGGGAGCGTCTCTTTCAGAGTCAAGTAAGCTGCGAGACGTCCTGCAACAAGGCCGGCTGGTTCGCTGTGGAGCTGTAGATGTAGCTGCTGAGGGCCCGCCTCCAGATATGCTGAAGACGAATCTGTCCAAGAAACCAGACCAGACGTCAAAGTGGAGAGAGGCGCTGGTTTGCCTTCCAATGGCAAACCGAGGAAGAACCAGCTCTAGGTTGTCCAACAGAACAGCCGATGAGCCTCAAGTTGAGCCTGGTCCAAGGAGCGGTGCTTCCAGTAGAAAGCCATCAGCAGCTCAGCCTAATGAAGATGCAGTTTCAGAAGCTTCTTCCTCTGCCGACAGCACAGCCGGCAGAGTCAAGAGACAAGTGAGCGAGATAGATTCAAAGGAGTCGGCGCGATTGGAGAAAGAAGCCTTGCGCGAGCTTCGCAGGTGGGACAGAGAGAGCAAGCTGCTGAGGAGAGCCTCAGCATCCGACGTGGCTACCAGCACCAAGATGCCACGCAAGTCAGAGCCAGCTGGGCCATCAAGCAGCGGTGGCTCTCTCAGTTCCACATGTTCAACCACCGGTTGCTGAATCTGCAGAAGATCATGCCTCCGCGGGCATGCGAGAAGAGGTTGACGGGTCGGCAGACACTGGTCTTGGAGGTGATGAGGCTTTGTTGTCTTTGGCACTGAAGGCAGATCAGAGCTCAAAATGTGTGTTGGCCAAGGCAGCAAGGCCAAAGAACAGTGAGTTCAACATGAAGCAGGCCACTCCTGAAGACGTAGAGGGGTTCAGAAAGTCGGACCTAGCGGAATGGGCTTCCATAGTGCGTTTTGGAGCTGTGGAAGTGTTGAACAAGGAGGCCGCAGACCTTGTTAGAAAAAAGGAGCTTCACCGTATCCTGGCATCGTGCATCGCGCGCAGGAAGAAACCCATGCCCGGCATCGGCAATTTCAAGTACAAGTCTCGATGGTGTGCTTTGGGTCACAGTGACCCTGACTCTGGCAGCTTCAAAAATTTTTCTCCTATGCCAAGCACTGAGGCTATTTCCTTGTTCTTTCAACTCACGCTATGTCTGGGGCATTGCCTTCGCCGACGTCAAGTCAGCGTTTTGTCAGAGCACCAAGCTTGATAGGCCTCAAGGAGAACTGTATGCGGAAGTGTGCTCGGGCCTGGGAATAGACATGAAGTGTTTGATCCTCTTGTGGCTCCAGTGTACGGGCTAGATGATGCTCCCATAAGATGGCATCATACAGTACTGGCGTTTCTACTTGAACTTGGTTTCGAACGTTCTCTATTTGAGCAGTGTTGCTTGGTCAAGATCATGACCGAAGTCGATGACTTCAACATAGGAGCCACCGAAGAATACCTTCCAGAACTTCTGAAGAGGCTGGAGGAAAGGTTCGTCTTTGGCAAGTGGGAGTATGACACCGCTGATTTCGCTGTCAGAACAGTGACTTTTCAGAAATGTAAAGTCCTGATGACACAGGAGAAATACATTGTGGAGAAGCTGCACCAACTCAAAGTACCAAGGGGCTTGTTGAGTCAGAAAGACAAGCTCCTGTGCCCAGATCTGTTTGAAGAGTACAGGTCAATGCTTTTCAAGGTCTTCTGGCATGCGCATCAGACGCGTCCTGAAGCAGGCAGGCATAGTGAGTCTGCTGTCCTTGTGCTTGAATGCGGCTTCAGTTCATGACGTTTGCTGTCTCAACAAGTTGATACATCACATAAAGGAGACGGCCAATCAGCCAGTGGTCTTACACAAGTTCGACCTTGACAAGATGATTCTAGTTTTGCAGCTTCTGATGCGGGAGGCGTTGCGGGTAAACCTGTTAGAGAAGAAGATCCCAATGGGGAATTGGAGGACACGGTTCAAGGTGCTTGGGTCATCCTAGCAGCTGACAAGATGCCATCTGCCTCTCATCGAACCAAGGTGCCAATTCTCTCATGGCGCTCTTCCAAACTCAAGCGTCGAGTGTCTTCAACCCTGGCAGGAGAAGCATTGGCCTTCAGCCAAGCCATGGCGGGAGTAGAGTGGCTGCAGTTGATGGCAAGAGTACATACTCAATGGTGATGTTCATCGCGAAGATTGGCGCAAATCAATTGCGCCGTTCGTCAGAGTGTTGCGAGAAGAGTGCGAGCTCAAAGAGAGACTAGAGCAGTGCAGCGTCACCGATGCCAAGTCTTTGTTTGATGCAATTAGCAACGAGAACTCCAGTTCCAAGCAAGACAGGAGAACAGCCATCGAACTGGCCATCATCCTGGAGAACTTGCGTAGGTCAAAAAGCTCAGCGCGTTGGTCTCCACATCCGCGGATGGTAGCAGATGTTCTCACCAAAGACAACATAGCCAAGTCCAATGGAGCTCTTGAAGAGTTGCTGAGAACTTCTAGACTGGCTCTATGGGACGAAAGTGAAGAACTGCAGTTGCGGCAGAGTGATCCATCAAAGAAGCTGCGCTCACGGAAGGCAGCTGAGCGAATGAGAGCAAGTAGCCAACAGTTACTTTCCTTCAGCTGCTTAGTCAACTTGAACTTTGGGGAGCTGATGAGCATTTTCCACCAAGTGCATGTGTTTTACCTAGCATGTGTTGGCTAAGCATGAGCTGTTTTCTTACGTGGCGCTGCGCATCAAGCCAGAGGCGTCTCGCCCACTTTTCTTTCACCACCTAGCATTCCCGCAGAAAAGCCATGCGGTCTTGATCACTGACAGCTGCTTTGTGCATCACGTGGCAGGCGTGGCGCTTGGCGACATCCACCTTCGTTTGGCGTGGCAGGCGTGCACCTTTATCGGACACAACTTTGTCAAACACAACTCTTTCGCACACAACTTTTTCACACACATCTTTCCCACACGCAACTTTGTCACCCACAACTTTGTCACACACAACTTTGTCACACACACTCACAACTTTGTCACACAGAATCCCTCTCACACACAACTCTTTCGCACACAACTTTGTCACACACATCTCTCTCACACACAACATTGTCACCCACAACTTTGTCGCACACAATCTCTGTCACACACAACTCTTTCGCACACAACTTGTTCACACATCTCTCTCACACGCAACTTTGTCACCCACAACTTTGTCGCACGCAATCTTTCACACACATCTCTCTCACATGCAACTTCTCTCTCACACACATCTTTGTCACACACAACTATGTCACACACAACTATGTCACACACACAACTTTGTCACACAACTCTTTCACACACAACTTTGTCACAGACAACTTTATCACACACAACTTTGTCATACACAACTCTTTCACACACAACCTTGTTCAACTTTGTCACAGACAATCTTTCACACACAACTTTGTCACACGCAATCTTTCACACACAACTTTGTCACACACACACAATCTTTCACGCACAGCTTTGTCACAAACAACTTTGTCATACACAACTCTTTCACACACAACTTTGTCACAGACAATCTCTCACACACAACTCTTTCACTCACAACCTTTCACACACAACTCTTTCACACACAACTTTGTCACACACAACTCTTCACATACAACTTTTAGAATAATTGACCCTTGGCCATCTCCTTTTTCCTTTCTTCTTTCTCCGCGCCGCTTCAACCACTTTTTCTGATTATTGGAAGAAGTTGACTTGTGGGGCTATCCGGTCCTTAAATTATGAATGTACGGAGTGCAGCTGGTGCCTTTGGAAGTTGGTGAAGTTCTAGAATGGGCGCAAGGAAGATTGATTTCCAATTATGCGGAATTCGCCCAACTGCGACCTTCCCTTGGGAATGTCGCGTAAGGCTTCTTCAGCTTGGAGCCCGGGGCCCCACGGGATCCCAAAGTTGCGGGGCTTAGCGGGGCCGAAAAAGCAAGTATGCCATTGCCAAAGCGAAGGGTCAAGCTGAGCCGGATACAAACCCCACGACTGATCAACTTCTTCGATGGCTTGACCATTGTGCCATGTTGTCCCTCCTTTTTTTCGGTGCCGAGGCACCTGTCCTGCGGTGTGCGGCAAAGCGTGGCAGTTCAGAGGCCCCGGACATGCCTGCAACATCTTTGCCAGCGAGCCGGGGATTTTTGCCGCGTTGTTTCCCATATCTTTTTGTGCTTTTGTTCTTCTACCGCAAAAGGCGACTCTTGATCTTTTTTCCTACTTCCCATTTATATTCTGAGTTCGCTCAGATACCCTTTTTGTAAG